GAAGCATGGCGTCGTTGGACTGGTAGTTGGACGTGTTGATCGAGATGCCGGCGAGGCGGCCGGCCGATTTGAGCGTCTGGAGCACCGAGATCGCCACCGACTCGGTGGCCCAGCCCGCCACGTCGACATAAATGTGCGCGTTGGTGTTCTGACTCAAGACCGTCACGGCGGTCTTCAAGTTCAATTCGTACGCGAGGTTCACGGCGCACCCTTGCTGGGAGAGGAGCCCAAGCGCGTCGGGCTCCACAATGTAAATGACTTCGCGGGATCCGACCGCCGACACGATCGTTTGGAGCCAGCTCGTATACTGCTCTGTGTTTTTGTTGGTGCCGCCGCCCGAGTAGCCCGCCGCGCAGTCTTTGTTGGGGAGTCCGTAAATCACAAAGATCGGGACGTCTCCGTTGCCGCATTTTGAGAGAACGCCAGGCACGGGGTTGTGGCCATTGTCGTTGACCCACGTGCCAATCGGACTTTGCTGGAGCACTGAAAGCGCAGTCGCGAGTGCCGGGTCTGAGTTGGACGTGTACGAATACGGGGGCACGACGCAGAGGTTACCGAGCGCGACGGGTAGAAACCACAAAAGAATCGTCGAGAGCTGCATGGCTGATCAATTTCTCTATAAACGGTACGCCGGGCACAGACGTCGCGTGTAGAGCACCACGTCGAATGGGGAATGCCAACAGTTTGAGAGGCGCGCAGCGCGCGGCTAAGTTTGGACGCGGCAGCATGGCGCGCCAACATGGCCACGTAAGATCCAACACCAGCCAATCAGAACGCGCCGATTGAAGCGTTGCCATTATGGCGGCCATACTAGCTTGCCCGTCAAGAGAAAGGCGGGCGGTTGGTTTCCCGTAGCTTGGTCAGGTCTATTCTTGCAAGCACAGCGAATGGAGCACCACGCGTTGCAGGACGCAGAGCTTCCCACGGTACCAGGGCAGGACGGCGTGGGGGAGTAAGAGCGTTGAGGGAAATAAAAAGACCCGGCGGAGCGCGATGGGATCGGATCGGAATACAATGTATGCAGACGCGGAAGTGGATGGTCTTGGGTACTACGCTTGACGACCGGCACAAGCCGCTTTCGACCCTGGCCCTTGTTGTTGAAGTGAGGTTATGTCGATACAATAATGCACACGAAATTGGTTTTGGCGATGGACTCTCGACTCCGAGCGTATTGCGACCTACGGCAGCGACGACACCTCGCGGAGGCGAGATAGGGGTCGCGCAGGCCCCTTGTGTGCTTATGGTCAACCGTACCATGACCAAGCTTCTTGAATCGCCCCCCTCTTGGTTGGAATGGACATGACCATGAAGCACGTCCGCTGCAACCCGCTTCAACGATGCAACCACGTCGGGTTCTGCGCGACCACGCCCACAACACACAAAGCTTCGTGCAAGTATTCGTACCAGTGTCTTCTGCACGGGTCCGGAGGTCATTCAACGCCGTGACAGGTGCAAGCCGTTGACCATGTAGCATCGACATTAGAATCGACATTAGAATCGAGCTCGTCTTTTTCGCGGCGCATCGACGCGGTCAACGTGGCGCATTCAAGATTCCCACGCTGGCCAACCAGCGCTGAGTCATGCCAAACCAGATGCGTGAGAAGACGTCACGTGATTGGCCACGAGCCGAGGGCTGGCAACCCATTGCATGCGCTACGCCCGTCTTCTTTTTTTGGCGCCGGCAACGGGCCGCCGACTGGCATGTACAATCTGTCCTTCGCTCGGGTTCATTAAGTACAATTACGGGAATACTCGATCAGGTGTCCTTCTGGGGCATGCAAGCCCGAGACGATTGCACGGTTTGAGCAAGCCGAGACGGTGTGGAGGCGTTGGTCACACGCTTCGTACCCAGCGCATCACGCGACAGTTTATATTACAGCGAACACTGTCGACAAAGCAACGTTCGCATTGTATGACGGCCCGCGATGATGCTGAATTTAAGTTTGCGCGAAAAAATATGCATTTAAGTAGAGGGCTACTTTAATTAATTGAAGAATAATAAAACGCCCACTTCTTGGTGGAATGCAGCCCATTCCACCCCGCGCGCTTTCCAAACGCCCATACAACGAGCAAGACGCTACAAACACGCCACTTTCCGGATACGAAGCGCCAAAAACGAGCTACTCGGGCGTCGGACGGTGCAGCACTGTAGCCAGTGGGCCGCCCACCGTGCCCCGTCCCGACAAGGAACCATCCTCCTGTGCCCATCGTACATCCTCCTTCCCACTATATGGCACCAGGCAAGGTCGCTTGCGGGGATGAAAGGAAATAACGGTAGTCTATTAGCACCGAAACCATCGCCACCATTGCAACCACGGAATGCTTGCCACAACGGCAAACCTCAACAACAAGCAAGTCGACGCATGGGTCCAGACGACGAGACCAAGCACGTTCTCAGCGCGTGCTATGCACGGCTACTATCGAAAGCGTTCTCTCTTCTTGCCAAGCCAGCCTTGGGAAACACTACATAGCCGCGTCGTTGTCGTCGCAACGAATTGGGAAGCATCCTA